TTGCTCTACTTGTCGGAGGAGGAGGGGGGTGGAGGGCGGAGGGGGGCAAAGAGAGTGCGCTGTTATATGTATATATTGTATATGCCTATCCTGTCTACCTGTCTGTCTGCCTATCTATCTGTTCGTCCGTTTGTCTGTCTGTCTGTCGGTCTAGACGCGGCAGCGTGTATATCTATGCGTGCACGTACTGCCTGTGCAGCAGAACGTGCGTTACATATGCAAGGGTATAATCCCGACACGTCGATGTTGGGCGGCTGATAGCCGGCCTCGCACTGCTCTCCCGATATGGCTACGCGTCGTGACAACAGTAACGGCCCAGCCGTGCGTCCTCCTCGCGCCACCCCAGGACGAAAAATCACCACCCTCTCGTCACAACGACCCGGGCGCCGCGCCACGATGCTACCTGGAAGCGACTGAAACGCGATCCTTGATACAGGGACTTATCCCTTTCCCCGGGAGTCTTCTACTTTTGTGGTCCTCGACGTTTCCTACAGCTCTCCTTTATCTGAGAAGAGAGGGTGACACGCGGTTTGCGTAAAATACTTTATATAGGATAATATACTGTAATTTTTATAGAAAGATTATTTCGGAGATGTGTGCGTATATCAATAATCTGTAAGAAGATAGTGTAACAAGGGTGATGTTTAACTTAAATTGTAATCTATACCCGTTTCTATCAATGCAAAGTAACTTTAATCTCCCGTTCAACTTATTCTTCATGTTTTTCTAATACTTAGAACTAGAAAAATATGAAGAGTTAGTTGAACCAAGATTAAAATTAAATTACGTTGGTGGAAACGGGCATTAATCGTTTAACTTAATCTGTAACTTAACAGCGTTGCAAATCGATCTTATGTTAGAATTGGGAGTACTATGGAGTATAGAAGATCGTTTTTAGTGATACGTTTTTATCGATGGAATGCGATACGATTGTAGCATCTATTTTAAGGATCGTTTGCCTCCTTCTACTTCGAAGAAGGCCGCGAACACGTCATGTATCACACTCCATTTAACTGATCAGTTTGGAAATGCAATCAGTTATCATGCACTCAGCTACCTACTTGAAATCGCTAACATAACCTTGCTTGCTTCCTTTATACCTGCTGCTTTAACTATATCAAACTGTACAATATATAGATATGCGATCAAAGAATGATTATTGGCACATGATTTAAGAATGTATCGATTATTATATAGTCCTTGCAAAGTTTATTATATAATAAATTAAATTTAGGGAAACGTATTTAATATTTACACTTCAAAAAATTACATATGAAAGTTGTGTGTATGAATAAGATTATATTTTTATTTAATAACACATTTTCACATAGTTTATTTGGTTTATTTGTTATTAACAATTAAAAAATTTCCAATCTTTCAGTAAGTACTTTAAATGTTCAAAATGATTTATACGAAGTTTCAGTGTGATTGTCTGTTTAGTTATATAAATAAATAAAATAATTTTGTTTATTTACAAAACAACTAATCTCTGCATCGTAATAAAACTTTATGTTATTTTATAAATCACCTTGAATATATAGGAGAGAGTGGTTTAAATCGGACCTATTTGCAGTTATTGTTCTTTACAAGGCGTAAATAAAGTCAGATCATAAAATCAATGGTGAAATATTGTATATTACGATAAATGTATAATAAATCTTTGTAAAAAATGAAAGATAAATGATTTCAACATTATTCTTGCACTTTTTTCAAAAAAATTTCAAGAGCTCAACGATTTTTAATACTTTTAAAACATGTAAATTTTCAAAATGTTGAATAAAAATACACTTATAATTGATTAAATTGTAAAGCATTTATCTATTGACTTTTTCAATCCTAGATTTTTTATTTGCAAAAGTATGTACGGGAAATCACATTTGTGTAATAAACAAGAAACAAATTGCATTGCATTCCACGATTGTTTTCTAAATGTCCACTTCAATACAGATTAGCTTTAATTTTGGTGCTTTGTATCTTGCTTTGTATCTATTTTTAGGATTAGAAAACTCTTGTTCATTACACAAATGTAATTCGTACACATATATACTTTCGCAAATAAAAAGATAAAGAGTTAGTTAAACTGTGATTAAGGTTAATCTACTATTGGTAGAAATGGACAACAAAATTTAATTTAATCTAGAACGTTTACGCTTCTCTGACTCGAGCGCGAATGTGTAACGTCTTATGTCTGGAAACCTGCCGATAACGGGAAGAGAGCGAGAGCGATAGAGAGAGAGAGAGAGAGAGAGAGAGAGAGAGAGAGAGAGAGAGAGAGAGAGAGAGAAACGGATGCGATGTCCTCAATCGAGCGACGTCGATTCATTGTCTGACGAATGCGATACCGTGACTACTTACACAAGATATAGGGTGACCGTAAATTTGCGCTCACATTCCATTCTCTTCGGAGAACGCGAGACGTTCGCTTTTACGTCTTTCAAATATCAAGAACAAGGTGAATTCTTTCTGCAGTGTTTGTTAAAACTTGAGAGTCCTAATAATTCTTTAACTTTTTTTTAATACTTTCCTATAAGACTGAAAAATGATGTATAAAATTATTAAGTTTCAAAAAACGCGCAAACACAAGATTCGCATGGATTACTCGGCGAATTACAAAAGTTCGCCGTTAATGTAAAATGCCGCGATAATTAAAAAATTCAATTGTATAAGTGTAATTATTTTTAATAAATTTGTTTTTGTGCCAATTGACACGCGATGATGTCTTAATTAAGATTTCCATTGTATCCACTGACAAGCGCGAACTTTTCGTGAAATTCAAATGACGGGATAAATTGTAAGGTAATATCGTCGCGTGTTTGCAAAACCCAAAGTTCACCGAGAACGGAAATATCATAAGTATGTAAAAATGACACTTTTATTCATATCGCGATAGCGTTTATTGCGTTTAAGCAGCTTACTTGAGTTTATTTCTGGCATGTTCAGTTGCTCCTAAGACCGACGCTGCGTGAACGTATAGACGATAATTGTTTTTGCAAGCACCACGTTACCCGAATGCAAACGCAATAACAATCGTATGCTGTATTGTGGCGCGAACCCGCTGATTACTCGCGAAATTTTGAAAGTGGAAGACGATACTTATGGCGACATCTCGTGGCGCTGCCTGATATCGCGTCAGAAAATCTATGAATGGTATATATTCTAGATGCGCCATGGAATTATGAATGTCACATTGCACGTTGTGTGAATTTACGAAGAGAAATACATTTATCTATCTAAATATTTGCATACATATTGCGACTTCGTTATTATTATTGTGTTATTATTTCTATCATATGAATATATACTATTAATTTAAATTGTATTATTTCTTTAAAATTATGTATGTTAAAAACTTCGAAATGTTATATATATACTTTTAATTGCTTCAAAATTATTTACATATATATGAATATATGTAAATTTGATGCATTTTTTATCGAGAAGTATCTCGTTCAATTTGAGGACTTCAATCGCGCAAACTCCGATTAACTTATTAATCGACAATTAACATGTTAAGGACTTCGATCACATTATGATTAACTTACAATTAGTCACAATTATAACTCGATCGCAGAATCGTTTAAGAAATCTTTAATACGCATTTTAATTAAATAATAAATAATAAAGGACTTTTAATATTTAAAAAAACAATAATAGATTAAAAAGGTGCAAATAAAAGTCAAATAATAATTTGAAATAAAAAGAGTCAAGAACTAAAATATATTAGCGACGCAGAATACAAAACAATTATTACATGTTTCGGTCTTTTATTGTGATAGATCATCTCTCTCTTTCTTTTCGGATAATCAATAGTTATTGCAGACATAATTAAATTTTTAAAAGATCAAATTACGTGATCGCATCGACCCGATTGTCGCTTCTTTTTTCATCATACAGGAGTTGCTCATGTAGTTTAATATTTATAATCTTTTTTCGATACGTTAAACATAATAATTAATTCGATTAATTTCATTTTATATATTATTTAATAAAATAATGCTAATTAAGTTAATCGGAGTATGACAGAAGTGTCCTCAATACTTTTGTAACATTTTGTTTGTTAATTTTAATATTGTATAATCAATTTAGAGTAAAGTTTAATTTGCTCTTCATCTTTTTCTAATTCTAAAAATTAGAAAAAGATGAACAGTAAGTTAAATCGAGATTAAAGTTAATCTGCATTAGTGGAAACAGGCATTAATCGCCGATTGAGTTAATCGGAGTTTTAAGTTGGTCAAAATCGTCTTCGCGGCATAAAGGAAGATCAAGTGTTCCGTTTCTTACACAATACTTGTTTATTTGATTGTAAATTGATTAAAATTTTTTTTTCTATGAAGAATGTATGTATCAAATCGAACGTATTATATTTGACATAAATGCATACAATCTTGAATAAAAAGTAGATAAATAAAAAAAATTTAGTCAAAGGCATAATTTCTTTCCTCGCAGTGTATGTTTGTTGATCAAATATTAAAGAGGGATAAAATGATACACCATGCGCATCGCGCGATTAAAACGGAACGCACCCCGAATAGGGCGATGGGTGAAACTTTATCATCTCTGGGGCGGTGAGATCCTGGTGGAGATCCACTTTACGATTGTCAGAAGTGTCAGATACCGCCGTCGCGGCGTGCAAGGAGCATCGCCTGTTTCTTCCGTGTCCCGCGTCGTATTCGCGCCTCGCGTTCGTGGCCTCGATGGATCGACAGATCGTTCGGCGGTATCGATCGGCGCGTATTGGCCGCAGTTCGTCCGATTCGCTGATCCTCGCTCCTGAATATCTTCCCGCGGGATTCGCGGGAATCACGACGGCGACACGAGTTATGCCATCGCGTCGCGCGACGTACATGTAGCGACGTGCGTTACCCCACAATCGTCGTGTAATTACGTCGAGTGGCCCACGTCGTGTGTCGCATCGGGCCCATCGCTATCATCCCGCAGGTTCCTCTTTCTCTTCCCGGCCCCTCCCCCTTCCGCGGGGAATTCGTAAGACATCGCGGCGGGCTGTCCCGTTGCCTCCAGCTGTCGTCTGGATTCTCGAGGGCGGACGTGCTCGTCCTGCGCGATCCGCGATGACAGAAACGAACGGTGCCGCAAATCTTAACACGAAGAACGGCAATTTTATCTGCGGTGTTGTGGAAGGTATGTGGACAGATCGCGTATATATATATATATATGTATACCGAATCTTGTACTTATTGGGGAATGTAGCTCAAACCTCTTATATGGTATGACACTGCGTCTTTTGCCCCCAGGCGTTTGACACATTTCTTTGTTTGAAGGTTTCTATGGACGACCATGGACCACCGAGCAGCGAAAAGATCTTTTTCAAAAGTAAGCTCTCATCCTGAATGCATTTCCATCAAAGGAGAATTTATGAGGGTCAAACATTTGTCAGTCATTTTTTAATGAATTCTGTTTCATGGAACATCATGTTTCTTCTCTTTTCTGATTATATTAATTGATCATTAATTGTAAATTATACATGTTACTTAGATTGAAAAAATGGGGAATGGACTCTTACTTGTATGCGCCAAAAGATGATTATAAACATCGTGCTTATTGGAGAGATCTGTATACAGTGGAGGAAGCTGAACATTTGACTGGTCTAATTACAGCTGCTAGGGAATATGGAATAACTTTTTATTATGCATTATCTCCTGGATTAGATATCACATATTCCAGTTCGAAGGAAGTCACCGCTTTGAAAAGAAAATTGGAACAAGTCAGTCAATTTGGTTGTACAGCATTTGCGTTGTTATTTGATGACATTGAGCCAGAAATGAGTGAAGCCGATAAAGAAATATTTCAGTCATTCGCACATGCTCAAGTATGTATGCAGTACAATGTTTATATGATATACAAGTTCTAACAGCAATTTTAATGTTTAATTTGACATATTTCTTAGTATTTCTGAATGTATGTTAATTTAATGTTTTCAAAACGTGTTATGATTTCTTTATTATAGTCTTCCAATCAATCTTTTACAAATTGAAACATATGTAAAATGAGAATAAAATTTATATCTTGTCAGTTATGAACTCTCTTATATAGAGACATATAAAGCATTATCTTACATAATGCATTGCTTTTATATTATTATTTTTCTTACAGGTTTCTGTCACAAACGATATTTTCCAACATCTTGGCCAACCTCGTTTTCTTCTGTGCCCTACGCAATATTGCGCAACACGTGCGATGCCAAATGTCGCATCTTCAGAATATCTCAACACTCTGGGAAGTAAATTAGCTCAGGAAATTGATATAATGTGGACCGGATCTAAAGTTATATCGAGACTTTTAACAGTGGAGTCCATTGAAGAAATCACAGAAGTGCTCAGGAGACCGCCTGTTATTTGGGATAATTTACATGCCAACGATTACGACCAGAAAAGAGTATTTCTTGGACCATATTCTGGTCGTTCTCCTGATCTTATACCTAAGCTTAGAGGAGTTTTAACTAATCCTAACTGCGAATATGGAGCAAATTTTATAGCAATTCATACATTGGCTCAATGGAGCAGATGCAACGTGGATGGAAAGAGAGACCTAAGTCTAAGTGAGATTTTTGCTGTATTCTATTTTATCAATTTTTTAAGATAAGCTTTTGAACTAAAACTGTCACAAGATAATAAGTGTTTTACACTTTATGATACAAGTGTCATTCTATTTTTGTTACTCACTAAAATGTCAAGAAAGATAGAATGATGTTTGTGTCAATTTGTGTCATCAATTGAAAAACACCTACTATAAGTGTGATACATTAAAAAAGTAAATTTAACTTTCAGTCTTCCTACATTCGTTTAATTTTAATTTTCCATATGCGTATTATATGATAAGTGTATGCACAGATATAAGAATGAATTGATTGTTCTGTATTGCAGATGATACTGTATCAGCGGATATTAAATTAGAAACCGAGACAGAGGATGGCGTTCTTGGTGAAGATGTTCCGTCAACATTATCACCAAACATGTATCACCCTCGACATGCTTTGAAAAATGCAATAAGTGAATGGTTATTAGAGTTTGACAAGAAAAAAGCAGCTTGGGGAGTAATAGCCAAACCGCAACCATGTGTTGCGCCTACGATACCTATTCCAATTATTCCCTCCGTGAACACGTGTATGAGTCTTACATCAACGACAACAACCACAGTTCCTGCCACGCCTACGCCTGGGACGAATTCTAATCATCTTCAAGCATTGGCCGAAGTTTGCTCAAGTGTGACAGGCAGCGATAGCTTTGTACCTCCATCTGGACCTGTGATGAATTCTTTAGTGTCAGATATAAAAGTAATCAGCGAGCCTGTTCTGACTACGTTAACCAGCAATATGAGCAATGAACCACCCTCAACAGGATTGTCTTCTATAGAACCTATGGACTGTAATACCACTCCAAACAATTCTCCGGCGCATGTAGCAAAAATTCCAGCGGAGGATGACGCTATGGTAGATAACTCTTCTGTAAGTTATTAAAAATTTTCGGGAATTTAATTATCCATGTATACCGTGTGATTTTTGTTTGCTAGACATGTAGCGAAGCTTCTGGAAGTATGCAAGTAGAAGTGGACGGCGTTTCTCCCACAGTCAATGGTACACAAATGATTATAGAAAATGATAGCGAAAATCACGAAAGTTCCGACAACGCGGATACAGTATCACAGGAACCTATAGATATTGAAAAACAACTTACGCATGAGGATCTGTCACTCTTGTGTGATCTGTTTTACTTGCCATTTGAGCATGGAGGTCAAGGAATTCAATTGCTGCAAGAATTTAATTGGTTGAAAAGCAACGCTTATGTTGTTATGAAAAAATCTAAGGAAGAAGAACACACATCTGAATCAGATGTGAGTTGCAAAATTAATTTATTTCAACGAACTTGATGTCATACTATATGTATATAATAAATGGCTTTAGATTGAAGAATGGCATCTCCGTGCAGCTAAATTGAACGACATGTGTAATGCGGTAAATAGATTATTCCAAAGACTCACGTATTGTAATAATCGTGAGTTACTGTACGATTTGTACGCGTACGTATGGGATATGAGAGGAGTTGTGTCTCTCCTAAATAGTTACGTAAAATGGCTAGGTAAGTTGCTTTTGATTCATATATGATATTATCTGATATATTGACAATACTAAAAATATGTTAAATATACCTTCAAAGAGTTTATTTTAACAGTTAGTAAAATTAAAATAATAATAATTTGCAGTGAAAAATAATTGATGATTTCTATTAAAAATTCATGTATATTTGTATTTATAAATTTAAATGAATATAATCAAAGTAATCTTTAATTTTATAAAATTCTTTAATTTAATTTATTATTTTTTAAATTACGCATGTGCATATTATAAATAAATTTTTGTCAAATATCAGAAATATGTATGAATCAAGATAAGAATTTTAATAAATATACATACTTTTGCTATTATATATATTACATATAAAGAAAGTCTATGAAATGGTAGTACGCTGGTAAAAATCTACATATGCAAGTGAATAATATTAATTTTTTAAATTCGAGATATATGAATTTATTGTGTATGTTCTAGTAACACAATGATATTCACTTATCATAAAAATTAGTCTTTTTGATTTCGAATTTAATCAAATTTAAAATTATATCTATTGTACTACAGACAAGTGCTGTTGTTGAATTCTCTTATTATAATATTTATTACCTATACTTATATTTCAGAACAAAAGTGTCTTGTGTATCGGTAAGTGAATGTTACTTTATTTTTTTATTAATAATTTTATCTTTTTGCAAGGAAAATCTGTTTTATCGATTTAATCCTAAAAATAGTATAATAACGTACTTACTTAAGCTTTATCAAGATATGGTTATTGTCAAAATTATTATATTATATTATCCTAACAAAATACGAGTGGATTGTTCAGTATTAGCTTTACGTGAAGTTTATCGAAACTTACAATTAGATGTTAATATATTAATTATTTATTATAAATATTTAATAAATTGAATACTGGAGATTATATAATACTAATATAATATTCCAGGAAATTTAATAATTTATAACAATATTGTTACATTTCCTTGTAGACTGATGTAAACTGGTGTTGCGAAATCATTTTTTTAAATATCTGTGCTCTCTAAAATCCGTAAATTACTGATTGATAAATTATTCCATATAATTTTTTCATGATATTTTTGACACTGTGTATGTATATCAGATAAGTAAAAAAACATAGTTGGTTTTTACTTAAACATTGTTTAATTATTTTAGAAATATTAATTTTAAAACATTTTTTCATTTAGAGTTTGTTTAAAAGAATGATAGCCACTGAAATATAATACTTATTATATTTAAAATATACTAAATGATATAATAATTTGCAAAATTTATGGATAATATAAAGTAAGTAATAAAGATTATCAGTAATATTCGGAAATGCATATAGCATAATCTACATATTGAACTCTGTATGCATTTGTTTCTGCGCATTAGAGATAAATGTATCGCAATATGCGCGTAGTAAAAACTTCACCATAAGTCAGAATTATATAAGACATAATATATTTTTACTTGTTAAATACTTTTAAAGATAGAAAAGACACGAACATGTAAAAATTAAATACAGATATTGCGAAAAAAAAAAATATATATATATATAAAATTGATATTTATTTGACAATTTTATGCTATTTCAACATTTTTATATCTATTTAAAAATAATTCTGACTAATGGCCGGTGATTTATTTTGACATTTTTATATAAACAAGTCACATCTATTTTTTTGTTTAATGAAATTTATATTATTATACACAATATATTTTAAAAAATGTTGCATCTATGTTTAAAATTGTTTAATTAAAATCTAACTCATAAATAATACACGTCTGATTGAAAACGTGAAATAAATTGATGTGGCTTTTTCATGCAATAATGAAATAATTATTTGTAGCAATGATGAAAACGATGATTTTATGAGATGACATTCAACAGCATCATTATGGAGTGAACAAAAATTGAATTTAAAAGTAAATCTTAAACCAGCTATTAACATATCAATCGACTTTCTTTACAGATAACATGACACAGGAGTTTATTCTATATATAAATTATTGTGTAATTATGTTTAATATTAAAATCATTTGAATCGAAAAATGTACGTATAATTATATATGCTCTTAATGTATATATTCCAATTAAAATTATATGCAGTGATTTAAGATTTGTAATGATATGCTCCTGTGGAATATAATGTATCAGGATCAGTACAGCTTTGGTTCATTTACTAACTTTCATTTCTGTGTTTTTTTGTCTTGTTGATAGCGTTTGGCAGATTCCCATCGGCGATGACGACGTTTACCCAGGGCAGCTACACATGTATGCGGTTTAACAGTCTTTGAGTAACACGGCAGAAAGCGCGCGAAATAACAAAGTTTCAAACATTGCAGTGATAGTTGCATTTCTAAATTTTTGTTTGGGACTTTACAAAAGATATCATCTCGTTTAACACGAGCGAAAAATGTATGCTTAGAAGCAGCGTTGCAATAGCTTGAAAAATCAATGTGTACAAAGCACATTTATTTTCACGATTCGCTATATGATGGACATACTTCCTATATATCGCAAAGATTATAGGCTATATATTTGCATATTTAATTTCATTATTTTACATCAATAGTAAAATTGCGTATAATACACATGAATCTTGTTTTATAATCTGTTGCACATATTACATTTTTACGATAATTTTACTATTAATAATTTTGTTTTTTGATAAATTAATTTTTTACTTGTATAATTCATGTTTATGCATAATTATTTTTAATGCTATTTTTTAATTAGATTTTTTTAGGTATATATTTAAAAAAATATGATTGAAATGTTTAATACGTATATTTATTTTAATATATACATATTTTTGCGTTTTTGAAGTAAGTCCATCAAAGAATTATATAGAATTGGCACAATTTAGCAAAGAAGTTATAAACTCTTGAACGTTTCCCGCCTGCAAATTGTGATCTTTGATCATTTATGATAAAATACTTTTATATAATGTAATAAGATATTTCTGAATTTTTTATTTGTATCGATGTCTTGTGAATTACCAATTATATGCAAAAATGTTCTTTTTTTATCTTAAATGATCAACGCTCCCACGCTCCTTTTGCCAACTTGCCTGCACACACTAATTTGTTTTACTTAGTTTCAGAAACTATATTCTTTTCAGGCGTGATAAGAGTTTTATTTCAGGCGCATATTGGCAAACTGGACTATTATACCAGATCTTTTCCCCAAATCCTAAATCCAGTGCTTCAAGAGTTTAGCATTGCGCGAGCTTTGGTGCAAAATTTCATTCTTTTTATCTATTTACTATAATTACAATCTCTTCGGGAATAGAACATAATATTCAATACAATGAAAATACTATTAAAATCTTTAAAAATACATATTTTTTGGCTTTATATTATACATTAAAATATATATATATATAATTTACCTCTCTATCTAATCTTTATTTTAACTCAATAAAAATTGATGCACCTTAGTTATCCGATTGGATCAATCATTCTTTCTCTCATACTCTATTTAATGTAGAGCGGAAAAGTATTCCGGAATAAACGAGAGAAAGAAAGATATTTTCAATCGAATTGTACTTTTGCATGTTAAAGATTTAAGCAAAATTGATGCCCAGAGCAGTGGAGGCCAATCGAAATTAAACTACACGCATAACGCGCGAATTTAACTCTAGCATTTCGTGATTTATTAAAAATGATTCTGTATCTTGGGATAGGGTTTTCAAATGGTTGGAAAGAAACATTTATGAGTGGAGAACAGGAACCCTGGGTTTTTCGTGGTGGACTTACGGCTGATTTACAGGTACACTTAATCTGGCATTTATTTATGTTTGCTTATAAAAAATTTGCTATAAAAAAGATGAGAAACATTAAAGAATATTTTATTCATATGTTTAGAGATTAATCCCAGTTGATAGTGGTAATGACTTATTTGTCTATAAAGCACCGGAAGTGCCCAGTAGTAAGATATATACAATTCGGCCGTACTTACCAAGTGATGAAGAGGCAGTTTATGCGGTGTGCAACCAAATTAATAATTGTACGACTTCATCAGCTGTAGCAGACAGGTATGTATATTTTTTAAATATTTATATTAATATATTTATTTCTGTTTTGAACAAATTTTTAATATACATATCTATTTATTTAGACTTATCGGGGGATTTTTAACGTTGACTCCAGAGTTATGTATGGTTGTTGAGGATGAAAATGGTGTAGCAGGTTATGCAGTGGCTACGTTAAATGTAAAATCTTACAATCAAAAAATGGCTGTTTCATGGATTCCTGAATTGCGAATGAAATATTCTTTAGACAATAGCATTAACGAATTGCCACAAAACGTTCAAGTAGGGGAACATTTTAATGATTTTACTTACATTTTTTTATATGATAATATACTAACAATTTTCAAATGAAAATTGCAGGATGCTATACAGTACTTCCATTCATTTATTCCGGATGTGTCGGAACAATTGTGCAGACAGCATCCGTCGAAACTTATATGCGGTATACTACCCAGTGTGTCAGATCAGTCTATTTGTAAACGTTTAGTAACCTGTGTTCTTGCAGCTTTAAGAGCAAACGGTACGTTTTTTTTTTTATTAAAACACTGAAATAATCAATTCAATCTTTATTGAAAATTGATGTACATACTTTTTCATTATTATACATAATATTTGTAATATAATATGTTTAATGTTTGAATATAATTTTACATTTTCATTTTCAAATATAAATGTATTTGTGGGAAATGTTTTGTGAAGCAGGTTCTTTTGGAGTACACACAACGATGTTGTCAACGGATAAAGAATCTCATGAATTCTATGGCAAATTGGGCTTCGTTGATTTAAATCCGGCGCATGAAGAATATCCTGGAATCAAAACTATGTGTAGAAGTTTCTAACAGAGAATCAATGCTCCCATGATTTTCATCAACAAAGTATATTTGCTTGAACCATCTCCTAGGAAAACGATGGTTTCTTAGGATTGCTGCTAAAATACAGAAATAATAGTAATAAAATTAAACGCCTTTATTCAAGACCTTTTTAAAATGTAATTATGCTAATGTGAAAGGTTAAAAGTACTTTTTTGAGAATATCAGCAATTGGAAATATCTGTAACATTATTTCTAATATATTTGATATAATACAATAATCTTTCTCATAGTATATCACGATCTTTAATCGTATCATATTTGATACAAGTGTACATAAATATGTATATATAACGTAATGCTAAATTTTAATATTATACTGAAACTTCTGTTATGTCATAAAAGAGATATAATAAGCATAATCAGATTTGTTTTTAATATAACATGAATTACATTCTTTACTTTATTAACAATCACGTCTACATATTATATATTACTATACTATGTAACACTTTATAATAGTTGATTGATATAAATCCAATTAGAATGCTTATCTGAATCGTGGTATGTATATATCAAATTCTCAATACGTGCATAATGAAATGCCAGTGTGTTCATTAATAAATTGTTGAAACAAATTTATTAAAACGTATTTTCTTATCAAGATGATACATAAGAATGACTGAATACAATTTAAATAAGTGCACTTTTTTTTAAATACGCTTTAGACTTTCTTTGAATAAATGTGAAAATTATGACACGGTTCAGATTTTAAATATGTAGTATAATGTATATCTGATGTCAGATGTATATTATATATGAATATATACATATAGATTCCATAGTGCTTACTGCTCAATAAACTTGTAATATACATTAAAGCTTCAATAACAAAGTTTTTTAGGTTTCTCTCCTATATATGTTGTCTCACATAGTTTTTATTATGGGCTACTTCAGTCAACCCTATAACTACAATACGCATGTATGTATGTTTTATATAATGAATAAAATTACGAAATGTGATATGTAAGTCACCTACATAAAAGATATTTATCATCCATTATTATTGAAGCAAAATATATATTAGATGTTTCCTTCTATACTAATTATTCCATATTACTTTAATTAAATACTTTAAAACGCACTTTTAAATAATAGATGCATTAATTTTAGAAACAAATTTTATTAACTTATACTTTATTAATACAAGTATAAGAGAATACAAACAAAATAGCGCAATGTCATAACGAGAACAATAACGTACATTATATATGCATGTAAGATATACATATTTATATAAGTGATGATTTATGTTTCTTATTATATATGTTTATGAAAGTGTTAATAAATTAACTATTAATTTTTGAAAAATTATATAAGTTAAATATATAAATGTATGAAGTGTATAAGATTAATACAAATTAATTGTAATAAAAAGTAATTGTAAGTTTATAAAAAATTAATTATACACAAGATTTTATACAGATTATTTGCCTTATATCTATTATTGGTATTGACTATAATATAATAACTTAGTATAACTATACTATTTATAAAATAGTTTCCCAATTTTGTATTGTACCTCTATAAACTTTATTACAAAGCTTAATTGAGTGCCATGTACAAAGGTAAAAAAGAACATTCGTGACTATCGCATAAATGTTGTATTATCACGAGCTAAATTTTATTTGTATTTTGGTGGTAATATATGTATGTTGCTTTTAGAACTTTTATACCGCATGATTGAATGCATTAGCAAGGAAATTAGAAGACGTTTTCTCTCAAAATTATTTTAAGAATTCTTGCGGATGCTTTGAAAAATATATATATTATATGTATCTTTTAATAACCTTGTTTTCATTATTAATTATGCATGAGACCATACACACATATTCACTTATTTCTTGCCAATTACCTTGACATATGTCACCATGATTAGTCTTGAAATTAATATTATAACGTATGTCGTATAATATTGTTTCATTTAAATAAATGCCTCATTAAATAAATTTTCATTAAAAATAAAAGAAATAAGTGTTAAGATAAATTATTTGGAGAATTTGTTGGAGCTGACATAATTTCGTTGTATCTTCTTAAATTATGCACTTCTTTTTGAAAATGTGAAAGCTATGAAATAAATCCACAGTAATTTTAATTGTATTAATAAACTTTGACCAAAATGAAATAATTTTAGAATATACCTTTTCAATTTCAGTTTGCAGATATTTTTGTTTAGATTTAGGCGTCAACATTTCTGAAGATTTTGTAATTTCAAACTTTTGCAAGAATCCCGACAATTCTTGAATCTTCCGATTTATATTTCTGAAATTAAATTTTGAAGATTGACACACACACTCTAGGCATGATATTTTATCATGATATAAAAAGTACATTATTCATTTAAACTTACACTAATTTTAACTTTTTCTGTTTCTGATTATCTTCATATTCTCCCTAAATTGGACAGTAATAAAAAAATGTTTACTTTTTTTCAGATTTATAATATTCTCGAACAAAATATAAATATTAAATTATCATACCGCTTTTTGTGAACGTTTCTGTATTGTTGGATAATCTTCAATGTTGATTGCGAATGGAATATCATCTAATAAATAAATATTTTATGTGTGATATGATACGAAGTATTTTATTATAATATATATTCAAATGTGTTCATATTTTACGTTTAGATCTTGATAAATTAAAAATATGAAAGTTCGATTATATAAATCTTACTTTTTATAGACATTTATTGGATTATACCTTCATTTCTTCTCGATATCTTTTCCATGCTTTTATTGAAACTTTGTTTGTTACGTCTCCATTCTTTTACAGTATCTAAATCCCTGCATATTATACAATACAGTTGCATCTGTTTATAGTTAACAATTTAATTGTAAACAACAGTTTACAATTAATAAGAATGATTCAAGTAGATGCCTTACTTAATTTTTTGAATTGTTGCTGATTGTGCGCTCAGCAAATCTCTTGCTTTAGAAATCCATTGTTGCTGTTGTTCCATGACAATATTAGTACCTGTACCTTCACATCTAAATACAAAATATTCATCATATTTTTTACACGAAATTTTTATTCTTTTTAATTTTTTAAATTTCTGCATTTTACATATATAGTATATATATATATGTATATATATTTAAATTACATTAACTCATATATCAATATTTTGTATTGTTAATAAAAATATATGTAATAATAAGATTTAACAGCATGTAATTAAAACCTAATTAGCTTTTTTGATTTCGAGATAATTCTCCAAGCACGATAACATGCTGCGTGAGTCTTTCAACTGCATTGGTCGCAATTGTATTCGCTGCATGTCTTTTGTCACAATATCGAAAATCAGCTCTGAATGTTCAATATTTCTACATTTCATTTTTTCTTCGTTGAACACTGTAGAATAATACGATTTCGGGAGTGTAATGTGTTTCGTCTCATTACTGATTGTTTTAATTCTACATTCTTTTTCGCGATAATGCTTATACGTTATCAGTTCTGTAATATTCTGTCTAATGTAACATGATCTGGGCGACGGCCCGATTAAATGCAAGATTTTTGCATCCACTTCGGCGATCTCTCCCCTAATGCAAGTTCTCTTAATGTCGTGACACGAAGTTATAATTTTTAAAAATTTGTGCTGCTTGCATTTTTCGTTCTGATTATAGTTTACCTCATCATTATCTTTCTCCTTTTCATTACTTTCGTTCTTACATTGGGTAACAGCAAAGTTTCTTTTGCACGATGCACAAAGAGAATCCGCCACACTATTGTTACGCGTATTGTTGATACTGTTTACCAAATTCGTTAAAAAGGTATCATTATGTAGATTGCTATACCTGTTACTGGGCTTGTAAACTTTGCTTTTCTTTCTAACCGCAGAGCCTTTGAATGAACCGCTAATGTCGTTCGTACTTTTCGATACTCGTCGCGGAATTTTTGACAATTTCCATTGTTTTTCACGCGGAGAACGATAACATAGGATCGTTGATGCTTTCGGCTCAATCTTTTCTAAAATATAAATTTAATATAATTTTAATTAGTAATAATTGTTGCAATTTATTTGTTTAATTGATAAAGTTAAATATATCGCTAATACACGGAGAGGAAGATTTTACTAAAGTATTAAAAAATTTAGATAGATGGACATCTAAAACTAAAAATAATTAAATTAAATAATTAAATAATTAAATTAAATAATTAATAATAACAATAATTAAGTTGGAAATTGAAAAATAATGTCTAATGCTACAAAAAGTTTTGACATTCTATTTGAGTGTTCTATAATTATTTTCATAGCTCAACATAATTATTTTCAGATCTACATTTCTAAAATTACATTTTTAGAGACTTCAGTGAAACTATTTTGTTTCTATGTATACATGCTTTATTATAGTGCAACTAAATTGCACTAGGATATGTGAAATTCTTACGTTTCACAAATGTCACGGGCTCATTCGGATATAATTTATTCCATTCAGATCGGAGATAGTTCAGAATACTTGAACATCCAAGAGCTATAATATCCTTTGAAGGGGCAATGATAGGATTATATGCTACGTTGAGAATTTTAAGTTTCGGCACGAGACCTACAATAAAAACTATATATAAGTATATAAAAAAAAAGGAAGGCAACTAATGATAATTAACGAAGTAATTGTTATACATCTGATTACTTGCATTGCAAGTTCCTTACAAAGTTCTAATGGCAATTTTTCGATTTTATTTCCTTGCAACAGGATGGTCTCTAGCGAAGGATGCGACTTAATGCTTGTAGGTAAACTTGTTAATAGATTATTTCGAACGTCCAGCCATTGTAAATTTTGCAGGGAAATGAAAAGTCTTTCAGGAAGCTCGGGGAGATTATTATTCTCTAGATACAGCATCTAAAATTCAATGAACCGTTCAACACAAAATGAAACAATGTGATATAAAAGTGACGTACTGAAAAAAAGAAGAAATCTGAATCTAAATCTTGCAAACGTTTCTGACTTCGTAAATATTAAGTTCGTACTTGTATCGCAGGATATTTCTCAATCATTTCGATAGGAAGTGACGTAAGGCCAGTGCTTGTTAAATCTACAAAAGTCTCGTTATATATCGGACTTCTGTTTAACGGCGGTGTCGAAGGTGGAACGAAGGTAATCGTAGATTTTTTCGTTCTCTTCTTCCCTGCTATTGAAGAAATATCTGAAGCACTGTCCGGTAATATATCTTCACTAAGCGAGAGATACGAATCGTTCCCTTCATTGTCTTCCAAACCTTCTCGTACAGTAAAGATATTATATATTAAAACAGAAATTCATTTTCATCTACAATCATTTATTTGTATTTACCTAAAGTAGTAGAGGCAGTTTTGCTGTATGCGGCATGATCGTGCGTCTCTTTGCCAGAGAAGGTATACATATTTTCGAATAAATTACCCGTTGCATTTGCCTCGAAAATAATATCGAACTCGGATGATGTTTCTTCGTTGTCTTTTAATGCTTCCCATCTCAACGCTCGCGAGGATCTCGTTGGCGTATCAATTTCAGAATTCTCTTCTTTATTTTCAATATCATTTTCCTGCGTGCATGATGTTAAAGTATTGTTTACATGTATATATATTTTATAATAGAAATTCATATGTCAAATGTATGTCTCTCTAATTTTCATGTTTTATACCGCAGTAATTATTTCAATAAATAACATGAATTTCTTTACATCTTATTTTTGTTATGAATATTCTCAACTTCTAACAAAAGTAAGTATAAAAAGGTTTTAATTGAATTAATTTGAACAGTAAAGGACATCCAGATTTTTAAAAAATCTAATTCAGTTATTTGAATCATATTTATAAGATATTTCAGTCGTATTATATTTAAGTAAAAGATATTTCTTAATTTATTCAAATATGTGACAGCAATGGTAATATATATGATATTTCGATTATTAAAATCGAAAGGACAACTGAAATTTTTTATGCTCTTCTAGCTCTTCGAATAAAGTATCTACTATTGTTATCCTGTTTAAACGGATAACTGCATTGTCACTCATATTTAATAGAAATAAATCCAGATTAATAATAATAACACAGTGTCATTATATTATTTATAAAAAATAAATCCAGTTTACGAATAATGACAGAGTTGTAATAAAATTTGTACCTGTACTTCCGTTTCTTTGGATGTGTCATCACCGTTTGTGTCCACAGTTGATTGTTCACCGATCAATTTATCCGAGTTATTCTCTATGCTGCCCATACATTCTAGGATCGAGGGAAATTTTTTAGTTTTTGATTCTTCAGAAATTGCGTAATATTGCGCGAGCAGATTTGCAGCGATGTCCTCAGACATGTCAAACAAAATATTAAAGATAAACAACCTATTCGGCAGTGATTATAACTTTCTTGTTTATCTGTTACCTAGGTGACTTGCCATCTTTGCACATACTATAGTATAGTGTACAGTACATGGGTGTGTGTGTGTGTGTGTGTGTGTGTGTGTGTGTGTGTGTGTGTGTGTGTGTATTTAAAATAAGAATTCAATTTCTGGAACTTGAATAATAGTATCAAAAATACTTTATATACGGAAACAAATTTATTTATTTTTACTCGTTCTTGTGGGAGAAAATTAATAAAATGTTTGTTATCATATTATATATATTTTTATTTTAAAATAAGTTTAAGTTTAAAAAGAACATATAATAATAAAGAATAAAATTTCTTTATATATACATTTATAATAGTGCTAACACTTGATGCTCATTTTTAGCATTAAAATAGATCACGTAATCAAAATTGACGATTCATAATCGTCGATATTATATTTTTCCAATTTTAAACGGAGCTGTTACATAAATAATAGATACTCAATTTCGCGGAGACAGCACTTCGGATATGTAAGATTGTATAGTTTACCTTTTTTTCTCAACTGTCTGTCTGGTCTCAGATATACTCGCAAAACATCAATACGGATCCGAAAATAGATTTCGCTTTAAATGCCTACTGTCTTTGCGGAAACTCGAATTAGCTGTGTATTCCATCATATAATTATGATATATGATCTACCTACTATGTACCTACTTAAAGAATACATGAAATATGTAAAGTTTATGAAAAATATGCATTTTATATAAAATATTCGGTTAAATCTTTTTGCATAAATATCCGCAGTCTAGTAATTGCAGTATACGTATATAATAATATTAATATTAATATTACTATTATTATTATATTTTGAATCATATCCCCTTTTAGAAAAAATCTTATGAACGCCCATGTATATCTTCCTTTTTTTGATCGCAGTTTTTTATAGTTTAGTGTAGAGACCTTTTAATCAGAGATTGATCATAAGAGAGTGCCGTATATTTTCTTAGTAACATCGTATGAATAAGAATAAGAAACGGCATGTATTATATATCTCACTCTGACTAACGCGAATGATCAGAAAGTGGCTGTCTTATGTCTATAAGTCTCCGATACTTCAATTTATTATAGGAAAGGCTCGCTCCAATATACTTTATGGCTGTGTCTCAACTGCCTAAAAGTACTAAGTCTGTTTACGTTACGTGCATTATAGATTCAGTACTGGCAGTAAATTTTGGAACACATTCTATAGAATTCTTTTATTATAATGTGAGTGTTTTCCATTTGGCGCTTACACATTCACATAACTTGCCCTTGTGTAATATGAACAAGGACAAAATGATTCCAAGAACGTTGGGAACGCCAAGTCTGTATGAAATACGTTGCTGTGTCTTCTGTCCGTTCAGTCGTTGTTTGGTTTGCATTCAGTTCAAATGTTTAGTTCAATTCACGTTCGTTGCTTTGATAGGTTGATGGTTTTATTTAATTTTACTTTGTGTCGTGACACTTTATAATTTGCCAATTTACCACAACTATCGCTCCTATTATTCTGCGCGAGTTTTACGCATTCTCGACGTTTCCTATTTTTGTTTTCATAATAGTTCGCCGCGTGCTAATAATCCCGATATGCCGAATTCAGAAGAAGGTAATAATTTTAAAATTGTTTGTAATAAGTTTTTAAAAACTAATATAAAGAGACAAGGGCAATGAGCCAATAAATTCGTTAAAATCCTTTTTTTAATTAATCTAATATATTGCGAAGAGTATCACGTAATTATGGCGTTTCGTCCCAGCTTCCACTACTGGACTCATCAGTAAGGCATTGTAGTGGAAGTCTACCTTATACGCCTGAGAGAGTTATTCAATCAAAATTCTATATGAAGAGATATACGCGTCTATCGATATTCGCAAATTCTCGTAAATGCTTTGATACGCGTATATCTCTTCATATAGAATCAATCCGATTTGGAACATAGTCCGATTTGGAACACGGTCCGATTTAGGACATTCTCCCCTATAATATACAATTTTGAGCTAATAAAATACCACAGAACTTTTTCTCCAACCAAATAATAAGAGGAAAGTAGAAGATATACGACGAGACTGATTTGCAGATACATTTGCTGCTGCAAGAAGATCTCGAAACAGGAGTTTTTCACGAAACTTGAAATTCAAGAATTTATCCAGATCTTGGTACGTTCTGCATCATCGTTAGATGATTTTAAAGTATCCAATACACTTCGAATTGTGTAATTTCACATATATCGGATATTTTAGATCACCCTTATTGCGTTGTGTGCACCAGTTCAGAGAGTGTAGAAATAAAAAACTGATTCCTAAATTAAAATAATTTCCCTAATTTTTCCTATCCGGGAAATAGCGAAAAATATAAGTTTAGTACATATTTTAACAGAAAAAAAAGCAACAATTGAGTTTATTGTTTTTATCGAGCTATGTTTACAATAATTTCTTTGTTTTTATAAAAATCTTTTTTTTTCATTAAAATTAATTATTATTAAAGTCGTGACTGTTACTTGCACTATATAGAATAAGTAAGCAGATTTTGTATAGTGAAGGTGATTATTGTATAGAGAGAGTGTATACATATCTCTCTGTATGAAGTCAAATACATAGAGACCTGTATAAAAGCTATTGTATATGTTCGCGGGTTATCTCTGTGTCAGATCCATTCTTAGAACGCTAACGTTTTGTGAACGTTGCAGTTTATTCATTAGGACAAGGAGTAGCCTGATACTAGGGGTTTGTTCTTTTTAGATGAATTTCTTATATGTCCACGGTTCACCTTTTGTCTTCTTTTCTTTAATATAGAGAGAGAGAGAGAGAGAAAAAAAAAGAAAAAGAGAGATAAACCGTAAACAATATAAACTGTAAAAAAATTTAGTTAAACAGAATAGCTTTTATATTGGATTAATACAGTGCAAACAAGAGTCACGATTTTAATAATAATGAGTTTAAAAAAAAATTATTTTTGTAAAAACGGAAAAATTCTCATAAACATGGTTCATCAACATAATAGAATTAACCGTTGCTTTTTTTCTGTTCCAAAATGTATTCCAGAATTATATTTTTCTTATTATTCAATAAAATTATTTTAATCATGATTTTCGGATTCGCGCGTAAAGCAAGCGATCCGGGTTCGACTCCCGGCCGAGGTAATATTTTTTACCGATGGAATAGGATATTAAAACATAATACTTATTTTATTTATAGCATGAAAATTAAATACACAAAAAGAAAATCAGAAGATGTCAGCTCAGAAGAAGAAGAACCACTCTACATATCAGAATTTGTGGAATCAGAAGAAGAACCTGAAAGTATGAAAAATTGAAAATTTTTAATTATACAAGTGAATAAAATTCGGTGACTTTTATAATTTTTTATTTATGTTTGTATGTTACGTTTGACATTTTATGATTCCAGCGGAAGACTCAGACAATATCAGTGAAAATAAAGAAGAGCGAGAAGTTGAACAAGAAGAAGAAGATGATGATGAAGACGAAGAAGAAGATGATGATAAGCGGAGAAAGAAGAAAAAGAAAAGTAGAATTGCTAGCTTCATCATAGATGAAGCTGAGGTAGACGACGATGTGGAGGATGATGACGAATGGGAAGAAGGTGCGCAAGAATTCGGTATAATCGAAAATGAAGTGGACGAATTAGGACCGACTGCGCGTGAAATTGAGAGACGACGTAGAAATATAAATCTTTGGGAGTTAGTATTCAGAATTTGAAGATAATTTCACATACTTCAATAAAAAATCTTTGATCCTTTAATGAACATATTTTTTAGTTCGGATGAAGATGAAATAGAGGAGTACCTTCGGGAAAAATATAGTAAATCGACAGCCGGTTATCGTTTTGGCGACGGTGACAAAAAAATGAGTGAGGAAATAATTCAACAAACTTTATTGCCGGGCGTGAAAGATCCAAATTTATGGATGGTAAAATGTCGAATAGGAGAAGAAAAAGCTACAGCACTGTTACTGATGCGCAAGTTCATCACATATCAGAATTCAAGTGAGAAATATATTTGACAGATTATCATACCGAAGTATATCTTATTGGTCTTTTTGCATGTCTCTAAATATTCTTTTGCTTTTTAAAAATTTTAGATGAACCTCTTCAAATAAAATCTGTTGTTGCATCGGAAGGAGTGAAAGGATATATATACATAGAAGCTTACAAGCAGTCGCATGTAAAAGCTGCTATTAAAAATATTGGAAGCCTCAGATTCGGTACATGGAAGCAACAAATGGTACCTATTAAAGAGATGACAGACGTGCTGCGGATAGTTAAAGAGCACACTTATTTAAAACCTAAACAATGGGTCCGTTTAAAACGAGGCATTTATAAAGATGATTTAGCTCAGATTGATTATATCGACTTAGCACAAAATCATGTTCATTTGAAATTGCTTCCGAGAATCGATTACAATAAATTTCGTGGCGCGTTGAGAACAGTGCAGAACGAATCCAACGTATCGAAATGCAAGAAGAGCAGGCAACCAGCGAAACCATTCAATCCTGAAGCAATTCGTGCTGTTGGAGGAGAAGTTGCGAAAAACGGAGATTTCCATATTTTCGAAGGAAATAAATATAATCATAAAGGGTTTGTTTTATTTTATAATGTTATTATATGATAGTATACTGCCGAAGTTTATTAGAGTTTGCGTTGTAAGTCTAAAAATATTTCGGCGCGCATTTAAAAATCTCCATACGTGTAGTATATAAATTCACACGCATTATATAGATGCACCCGAGATCTAGCTCGACTGTTACGGCAACTCATCGGTATTTAAACCTTCACGATCCAATAAGATTTGATATTATATATGATGTCACTTATATACGTATATTTATGTAAACATAATTTTGATCAATTAAAATAATTTCTTTTGTGTAGATTTCTTTATAAAGATTTTTCCATAAATAACATTTGCGCGGAGGGTATTAAACCTACACTTTCCGAATTGGAAAAATTTGAAGAAGCGCTGCAAGATATTGAAATAGATTCCAATGAAACACCAGAATTTGGAACATCTGGAAAAAAAGATCAATTTTATTCCTTTAGTACTGGAGATAAAGTAGAAGTATGCAAGGGTGAACTTATAAATTTACGGGGAAAAATCATTTCCTTGGATGGAAACACGATTATGGTTATGCCGAAACATGAAGAACTTAAAGAAGTTTTGGAATTCCAAGCTTCAGAATTACGAAAATATTTTGTGCAAGGCGATCACGTAAAAGTAAATATAGCGCGTCAGAAAACTATATTTTTCCTTATGACATTATAAAAAAATCTGGTTTTAATTAATCTGCAGATTATAGCAGGACGATACGAAGGCGACACAGGTATAATTGTTAGAGCAGAACAAAACAGAATAGTTTTATTCTCCGATTTGTCAATGCACGAACTCGAGGTTTTTCCGAGGGATCTACAATTGTGTTCCGATGTGGCAACTGGTGTCGACAGCTTAGGCAAATTCCAATGGGGTGACTTGGTGCAGTTAGATGCACAGACAGTTGGTGTTATCGTTCGATTGGAACGTGAGAATTTCCATGTTTTGTCTATACATGGGAAAGTAGTCGAAGCAAGACCGCAAGGTCTTACGAAGCTTCGCGAAAGCAGAAATGCGATCGCACTGGACTCTCAACAAAACATTATACAAAACAAGGATATTGTTAAAGTAATTGACGGAATGCATGCCGGTCGAGGAGGTGAAATTAAACATCTTTACAGAAGTTTTGCTTTTTTGCACTCGAGAATATTCATTGACAACGGTGGAATATTTGTATGTAAGACCAGACATTTACAGTTGTCCGGTGGAAATAAGACAATTTCTACTAATTCTATGTCACCACTACTGGTAGGCTTTATGTCACCTAAAATGACCTCCCCGATGCATCCCAGCGGGTAGTATCTTTTATTTTCTCATTCTATAAAATCATTTTATTATATAGCCTTTCAAAGTTTATCTTATATGTAAGAATTATTGCTCAATCTTACAGAGGTAGTTTTGAACGAAGCAGTGAAGATAGAAGAGGCAAAGGTAGCGGCGTCGGGGGTGTAAGACGTGACCGAGAATTAATAGGTGTCATCGTTAAAATAACAAGTGGACCTTATAAAGGAAATGTGGGTTTCGTGAAAGATGCGACGCAGACGACAGCACGAGTGGAATTGCATTCAACGTGTCATACCATCTCGGTTGATCGTTCTCATATAGCAAGCGTCGGAGTTTTAACAAGGGATGGTAGCTTCAGCAGCTACAACAGAACTCCAAATGAAATCGGTGGACAAACGCCGACGTACGAAAGTGAGTATATATTTATACATCTGTGTACTTCTGTCGTGTTGTGGGATTATTCTTTTATTATTATATTATACATATATATGATATATGGAAAGCGCATAATACTTTTTAATTCCAATCTTACAGATGGTTCTCGTACTCCGCATTACGGTTCATTGACACCATCTCAAGATGGCTCACGAACACCAGGTCAATCTGGAATCTGGGATCCGACAATTGGTAACACACCCGCTAGGATGAACGAATTCGATGAATATAACATAGAGGAGAATAGCTTACTTAATTATCCTCTTAAATATCCTTCTACTGAAGAACCATTTATTCCACAGACTCCGAACATTATATATGGCTCGGAACAAAGCTTCGATTCATGTTCATCGAGTACTATGGAAAATTCATCTACTGTATACTCAAATCCTGAAAATTACGTTGCTACTCCGTCTACAACGAATACTGGATATGTCAACAACACGTTGACGATGCTAAACAATTATACACCTAGTAAGTATAATATATGTGCAGGAATCCTAAAGTAAAGATGAAGATTTATTGCGCGTGTTCGCACGCACGCACGCACGCACACTTTTGTATATTCTTTGTGTATAGTGTTTTATAAAGCTCTTGACGCCAGCTCTTAGATGTTGGAATAAAAAATAGGATATGCCATTTTAAAAAATCGATGTGATCTTGACTTCACCTTGAAATACTTAAGGCAGATTGACCAGAGTAGTGAATGGATTATTAAAAACCCTACAACTTTTGTAGGAAACATTTCTTTCGGAAATGCTTATTAGTTTTCAAGATATTATCTTCACCGATTTAGAATTTTTTATTCACACTGCATATAAATGATACATATATATGAGATATATATATATATACATATATATATACACACAATATGTAACAGAATATATTCTTCACATTGTGATAAGTTAGACTCGATAAAAAGTTCAGTATTTCAATGTTTATGTAACATAATTGATCATTCTTGCAGATAGTCCATACAATCCACTAACACCTCATTCAGAAATGGACGCAGATAACGATTCTGATTGGCATACAACAGATATTGAAGTTCGCATTCGTGACACCCACAATGATTCTGCTCTCGTTGGACAACAAGGAGTTATCCAACAAATTTCAGTAAGTGATTCTGAATATTAATTAATTTTGAATGTATACAGACATTATTGAATATTAAGATATTATTGGATATCGATAATTTATTATACATATGCGTGTTTTTGTGATTGTTTTAATTTAAAAAAATAATATATTTTATTTTTGTGACAGGGTAATATGTGCAGTGTTTATCTACCTACGGAAGATCGAGTAGTGAGCATAGTATGTAAACAATTAGAACCTGTAAAACCGTCAAGTGGCGATCGAGTCAAAGTGATTCAAGGTGAAGACCGTGAAGTCGTCGGCACTTTACTTTCGATTGACAATCAAGAGGGAGTGGTAAAGCTTATTAATACGGACGAGATAAAATTCTTCCAATTTCGATTGTTAGGTAAAATGAAAGACAAATAGCATAGAATGATACAAAAACTTTAACAGTCCGTTCCTTCAACCTCATATTTATGTACCTCATATTTATTTATAAATTCAGGGTTGGGCATGTATTTAAAATACTTTTATTTGAAAATGATAATTGTAAGACAATATTGTATCGTGTATTTTGTATTTGAACGGCGTACATAAAAATATTTTGCATTTTATATTTTATGGAAGTATATAAAAGTATTTTATATTTTGTATTTCAGTATTATTAATGAGATTGAAAGTATTTTGTATTTTGTATTTTAAATACTAAGATATTGAAGATTGTTATTATTTAAATTACGAAGTACATAGAGCTTTCAATCTTTCAATTTTAAATACAAAATATGTAATACTTTCATGTACATCGCTGAAATATAAAATATAAAATCTACTTTTATTCCGAAAACTGTGTTTTAAATCAAAGTATTTTAAATACATGCCCAACTCTGTTTATAATATGATATCTATAACACAGTAATAGTAATAAATAACATATGTATATTATAACACATTAGACGTTTATTTTTTCTTCTGTTGTACATTATACTTGTTCTACATTATATATTTCGAATTTCCTACATTATAAATGTAGGAAGTTCGAAATAATAGGAAACAGAGAATGTATCGTTTTGATTATTGCTGCACATATAGATACGTATATACACATATTTGTATATATACGTACTTTATTTCTGAAAATAAAGCCGTCGAGTATTTAAAAATCAATGTTGTTGAATTGTAATTAGTTTATTTATGATCAAAAGAATATGTAGGAATGCTTATAATTGATGTGTTCTTTAGTTTAATACGGATTTATTTGTTGTAGAAGTTTTGTGCATAAAAGTGCACGAAGGACGTGTAAGTACAGTTCAAAATTGTGGAAATTACGTCACACGTGTATCGATAGTGTATCGATAGTCGCGACTGTCGTATGCCTCTCGATAGCAAATAGAAACTTATCTCGATATATCAAATTAAGGTTATAGGCTATCGAAGTTATCGATAGTCGCAATCTGTACCTCTTCGACGCCATCATGGCAAGTGATGGCAAGCCATGATGAATCAGTAGCCATATTTCGTGTTGTGTTAATGATCATGTTCAGCAGACTCAACTGTTGCGGAGCGGATCCGTGAGTGCTCGCTGCTATTCTTATTAATCCGTGATACTCTTATACTTTTCTCGGCGTTTCCAGTTTTCATTAAACTCCATACTCAACACAGGCAAATAATTCCGACATGTCGGATTCAGAAGGTAATTCCGTGTTAATAGAGGCTAGGATCGACCAAATGTAATATAGAATGTACATTACGAGACTTATTGTAGGCGTCAGCGATGCAGGAAGCATCGGAGGAAGATCTCGGAGCATTTCTCGCAGCAGGAGTCTTTCGCGAAGCTCGGGATCCAGGAGTCCGTCTATATCTCGATCACGTTCTCGCTCACCATCTGGGTAAGTCTAAAGTACCTAATGCATCTCGAATTGTGTACGTAATTTCGTGTACAACAGATGTAGAACTTATCGAATCTCTTGACACATGCACTCAAAATCTTTGTGGCCAGCATACATTTATCTTTATTACAAATCCAAGAAAATGTTAATTGTTTTTAGTTTAGCAAGAATAGTAGTGGACAAACGATGAGAAATCAAATTCGTTAAGTAATATCAATTAAACTAATAAGATTTCTTATAATTAAATTAATGAATAAAACTGCTATACAACAGAATGTAATAATAAATTAATTAAAATAGTTATTAGCCAAGAAACAATCAATTTAATGTTCATTAATTTAACAACTACAAATAAAAATTAAAAGAAAAAAATACAGATGTTTTGACTATTATTGAGAATGACTCAATAGTAGTCGAAACATCTGTATTTTTTTATTATAATTTTTATGTTAACATGTCACAAACAATCTATATCATGTATTTTAATTCACGTGGGCAGGATAAAGTGTTGAGCCTATTGCACATGAAATGCATAATAGAGCATGAGCATAACATAAAACTGTTGGACCAATAAGCATCCAGCATAAAGCGGGGAGCACAGACTTTTGCATAACGCATAAAGCATGTGCATAAGGAATTTCATTGGCCCATTTTCTTATGCATGAGTCAATGGACCAATCAAATTCTTTATGTATATGGATTATGCGTTATGCAAAAGCCTGTGCTCCCCGCTTTAAAGTTGCCATATTGATTAACATAAGATGCTCATTGGTCCAGCGGTCTTATGTTACGTTTATGCACTGTTATGCATTTCATGTGTTTTGGACTTTAATGTCTATATATGAAATATCCACAATTCACTTTCTCGTTTGTTTTAATATCACAAACATTAACATTGAGAATGACTCAATAGAAACATTCATATTTTTTATTTTTATTTGTAATTTTTAAATTAACAAACATTAAATTGATTGTTTTTTGGCTTGCAATCCTTATTTTATTTTAATTAATTTATATTACTTGAGCTATTTTATATTATATATTGCAATAATAAATTTGAAATCAACATATGTTTGAACATAAATGTTTTGATTTTGAACTATCTTCAGTGTAAGTATTTGTTTAAATGTTAAATATATGAAACATTAAATTAATTCAAATTTATTATTGAGCTTTAATATTTTGCTAATTCTTAAAGTCTGTAAGGTCTAATTGCATCAATGTTACTTTGACTTTGAACAAGATTTAAATATATATGTGTGCGTGTGCGTATTTTATTTTATTTAGATATTATTTTACTTTATTATAATAAAGTTTATTTTACTCACAGCTCGGAAGATGGAGATGCGAAGATAGATGAGGCAGAAGAAGTCAGATCAGGAGATGAAGAAATTGTGGAAATGGAAGAGGAACCTGAAGGTATAATAAATCAGACAATTTCTAAAAACATAATGTGTACACATATATGTATAAAAATTATAAAACAATTTGTAAAAATTGTTTAAAAAACACTTAAATTTTATTTGTTTTTTATGGTTGCAGGAGAAGACTTGGATGATAGCAGTGAATATGATGAGGAAGAGGAAGAAGAAGATGATGATAGGCCGAGAAAGAAAAAAAAGAAAGATAGATTTGGCGGCTTTATCATAGATGAAGCTGAAGTAGATGATGAAGTAGAAGACGACGATGAATGGGAGGAAGGCGCCCAAGAAATTGGTATTGTGGGAAACGAGGTAGACGAATTAGGACCGACTGCGCGTGAGATTGAAGGACGACGTAGAGGTACAAATCTTTGGGAGTAAGTACTCAAAATTTAAAAATAATTTCACGTACTTTATGTTTGTTTTAACGAAAATAATTCCTTAATAAATATATTTTCTAGTTCACAAAAAGAAGACGAAATTGAGGAATACCTCCGAAAAAAATATGCCGACGAATCAATTGCTGCTCGTCGTTTTGGCGACGGTGGCGAAGAAATGAGTGATGAAATCACTCAGCAAACTTTATTGCCAGGCGTGAAAGATCCAAATTTATGGATGGTAAAATGTCGTATAGGAGAAGAAAAAGCTACAGTACTATTATTGATGCGAAAGTTTATTACTTATCAATTTTCGAGTAAGAAATATAAATTTGAAAGATTGTATCATTTCGATTATATTTTATTGTATATTTTCAAATATCCCCCTTTGTCTTTTAAAAATTTCAGATGAACCTCTTCAAATAAAATCCGTTGTGGCCCCGGAAGGAGTTAAGGGATACATATATATAGAAGCTTACAAGCAGCCACATGTAAAAGCTGCTATTGAAAATGTTGGAAACCTCAGAATGGGTGTATGGAAGCAACAAATGGTACCTATTAAAGAGATGACTGATGTATTGCGAGTAGTTAAAGAACAGACGGGTTTGAAAGCTAAACAATGGGTCCGTTTAAAACGAGGCATTTATAAAGATGATATAGCTCAGGTTGATTATGTGGACTTGGCACAAAATCAAGTTCACTTGAAATTACTTCCAAGAATCGATTACACTAGACCTCGCGGTGCCTTGAGAACAGCGCAGAGCGAATCCGAAGCATTGAAACGTAAGAAGAAAAGACGGCCACCAGCGAAACCATTTGATCCTGAAGCAATTCGTGCTATTGGTGGAGAGGTTACTAGCGACGGAGATTTCCTCATTTTTGAAGGAAATAGATATAGTCGTAAAGGGTTTGTTTTGTTATATATTGTTATTGTATATTATTACAATATTTACATATACATAATTTCAAAATTATTTCATATTTATGCAGTTTTCTTTATAAAAATTTCACCACAAGTGCTATTATCGCGGAGGGTATTAAACCTACACTTTCCGAATTGGAAAGATTTGAAGAAGCGCCAGAAGGTGTTGAAATAGATTTAAGTGGTACGCCGGGAACTGGAACTTCTGGGAAAGAAGATCAATCTGTAGCTCACTCCTTTAGCAATGGAGACAACGTAGAGGTGTGTGAAGGTGAACTTATAAATCTACAGGGAAAAATTGTTTCCATTGATGGCAACATGATTATGGTTATGCCGAAACATGAAGAACTTAAAGAAGCTTTGGAATTCCAAGCTTCAGAATTACGAAAATATTTTACGCAAGGCGATCACGTAAAGGTAAATTTAGCGCGTTAGGAAATTATATTTTATATTCCAGAAAAATTATATTTTTCGTACAATACTATAATATATTGTTTTAATCAATCTGTAGGTCGTAGCAGGAAGATATGAAGGTGATACAGGTTTAATTGTTAGAGTAGAACAAAATAGAGTAGTTTTATTCTCTGATTTGTCAATGCACGAACTCGAGGTTCTTCCAAGGGATCTACAATTGTGTTCCGATATGGCAACTGGTGTCGACAGTTTGGGCCAATTCCAATGGGGTGACTTGGTGCAGCTAGATGCACAGACAGTTGGTGTTATCGTTCGGTTGGAACGTGAGAATTTCCATGTCTTGTCTATGCATGGAAAAGTAGTCGAAGCAAGACCACAAGGTCTTACAAAACGCCGCGAAAATAGAAATGCTGTTGCTTTAGACTCTCAACAGAATACGATACAGAAAAAAGACATTGTTAAAGTAGTTGACGGACCGCATGCGGGTCGAGGCGGTGAAATTAAGCATCTTTACAGAAGTTTTGCCTTTTTGCACTCGAGAATGTTTGTCGACAACGGTGGAATATTCGTGTGCAAGACTAGACATTTACAGTTGTCCGGTGGAAATAAAACGACTTCTATTAACTCTATGTCACCAGTGGCAGGATTTATGTCACCTAGAATTGCATCCCCGATGCATCCCAGCGGGTATTTTTAATTCTCGTTTTATACTTGTTGACATAGTTCATAATTCGAAGTTTACTTATATGTTTTCAATATTGCAGAGGTAGTTTTGGACGTGGCGGCGGAGGTGGACGAGGAAGAGGTCGTGGCGGTGGTAGTGGTGCAAGACGCGACCGAGAATTAATAGGAACCACTATTAAAATAACAGGCGGACCATACAAAGGAAATGTGGGTATCGTAAAAGATGCGACGGAAACAACAGCACGCGTGGAATTGCATTCAACTTGCCAGACGATCTCTGTCGATCGTTCTCACATAGCGAATGTCGGCGTCCCGTCAAAGGATGGTGGCTTTAGTAGCTACAACAGAACTCCAGCTTATGGAGCCGGTGGACAGACGCCAATGTATGCACGAGATGGATCAAAAACACCTATGCACGGTTCTCAAACTCCGATGTACGAAAGTGAGTATATCTTTTCATATTTATATTAGTCTTATTTCTTTATCCATTCCTGGATATCAGCTTCTTCCAAGCTTTTTTCCATTTTACGTGGTCTTTAGAAGAAAGGAATTTGGCATTAAAACGCCATGCTTATCATTGCGTGTTGGCGAGTGTGCATATATCCACTGATATATGGGACCTACATGTAATGTCGAATCCGAACGGCTGTGGCAAATATACTTTCGGAGGTTTGCCATTGCCTTCCGAGAGGTGGCGATCAAATAACATTTGATGTTCTAGATGGATTTGAACGCTGGACCTTTGTTACAGGGAGCAGTCGCGCTACGCTCTGCCACAATCGACAACATCTTTTTATAAATATTTTTATATAGGACGAATTTTTTATGTGGAAAGCATAATTTTTTTAAATTCTAACGTTATAGATGGTTCTCGTACTCCGCATTATGGTTCAATGACACCATCTCACGATGGCTCACGGACACCAGGTCAGTCTGGGGCTTGGGATCCAACAGTTACTAACACACCCGCTAGGACGAACGATTTTGATGGATACAGCATTGAAGAAGGTGGCTCGCCTGGTTATGGACCTGGATATCCTCCTACTGGAGGACCATTTACTCCACAAACTCCGGGCACTATGTATGGTTCGGAACAAAGCTTCAGTTCATATCAGCCAAGTCCTAGTCCTGCAGGCAGTGCTACCGCAAGCCCGAGTCCTGCAGGCTACGTTGCTACTCCATCACCAAGTGGTACAGGATATACCACTAGCCCACATGGTGCGTTTGCAACGCCTTCTCCAATGGGTTATAGTCCTATGACACCTGGTAAGTAATACATTTTATTAATTATTTTATTAAGTAATATATTAAAATCTCAGTGTGTAAAGATAGATCTAAGTTTATAATCTTTATTATAGAATCTCGATATCGCAATAATTTAATGCTGTAATATGATTGATTTTTATTTTTTTCTCGCGTTAAAAAATATTAATTTTAGATAAAGATCTATGTGTGATTATATTACTTTTATATTTATCTTAATCTATTCAATTAGTTTTTTTGTATAATTGTTTTGAAATGCAGAAACAAATTTTGTGAATAAGTGAAATGTGAGTTCTTGAAACTTTATTTGCATTTTACTCGCAATCTTTAACTTTTTAAACCAATCTTTTATTAAATCAAAATATACGTGAGATAAGATTCAGAATTAGCTTAATAATTAGAGAAAAATTTTTAGTTGTAACAAAATTATGGACTATATGAAGATTCAGTACTTGCTCAATACACATGTAGCGTAATTTGTAATTCTTACAGGTATACCAGGTAGTCCATACAATCCACAAACACCTGGTTCAGGAATAGATGCAGGTGTCGGTTCTGGTATAATAGGTAGTTCAGAATGGCATACGACAGATATTGAAGTTCGCATTCGCGATTCTCATGATGATCCTGCGCTTGCTGGACAGCAAGCAGTCATCCGAGGAATTTCAGTAAGTAATAAAATTCTGTTAATTCAGAATATAGAGTAAGATACACAACTAATAAGAAACTAGATTTTAGATGCTATTATAATTCCGTGTGAATTTACATACTATGTATGTAGTCTTTTAAACTGTGTTAATAATTTTTTGATCTTGAAACGCCACTCTACGAAACTATACCGCAATAATATCACGAGTTAAATTATCTATCATTATCTATTATAAATTATCTATTTAACAATTTTGATGCTTATAGCATCTTGGATCTTAATAATGTTGAATGATATATTAAAATCTATGAATGACATATTAAAAATCTGTAAACAATTAATTTATGTTGCGAATTGCGAAAAATATTACCTCGGCCGGGAGTTGAATCCGGATCTCTTACATTCCGTGTGAGAGTCTTACCAGTTAGACTGTCGAGGTAATTGTTTAGCGCGCAATTGAAAAGATTATATATGTAGTATATAAATTCATACGGAGAATTATAATAGCATCTAAGATCCAGCTTGAATTTCTTATTGGTTGTGTTTCTCACATGTACGGTCATATAAGATTTAATATTTAAATAAAGTAAGATATTGTCATGATATCAATAATTTATATTGTATTTTTTTTTATGACTGTACTGATTTTGCAAGAGTAACACGTTTATTTGTGGCAGGGTGGTATGTGCACTGTTTATCTACCTACCGAGGATCGAGTAGTGAACTTAGTGTGTGAACAATTAGAGCCTGTGGTACCATCACGTGGCGATCGGGTCAAAGTGATTCTAGGTGAAGACCGAGAAGCCGTCGGTACTTTACTTTCAATTGACAATCAAGAGGGAGTGGTAAAACTTAATACGGATGAGATAAAATTCTTACAATTGCGATTTTTGTGTAAAATGAAAGACACAAAACAAGGATAGAATGACCGCAATAGCGTTGATAGCATGCTTTTCTAACGCGCTTAGATATTTAATATAGTAATAATAAATGACGATTGTATATTACATACATATACTTTATACGGTTATTCTCTCTCTTATTATAATATTATAATTTATAGAGAATTGACTACAGTCGAAAATGGAAAGCGTTGTTCTCTTTGATATTTGATTATTACTGAATACTGACATGATTGCGACTATTTTTATTAAATTGACAATTAAATTATAACTAATATTTTGTAATACATATGAATTGATGTTATGTATAATAGATTCGAATTAATGCTATGTATCATGTATTGTTGCAAAATTTATTTATGTACGATTCAATTCAGTGAATATAAACAATTATGTGTATATATTATTTTGTGTAACATTTTTTTATTCTCTCCCATATTTTGCCATATTTCATTTATCATATCCTTAGATTTTTCTTGAATTTTTTGTAATATATATCTTTTTAATGTATATATTTATATATGCATGTGTGTATCTATTTTATTATATATACTTATTTTTATGAAGTAAAGGATCATGTCTGAAGTTACTGCTTTATTAACACGAAGTTAATACATGGTGAAATGATGTAAAAAGATTTACATCATGGGTGAAATCATGGTAGAAATTACCATGGGTGAAATTACGTAATCCCACCATGAAGTAATACGCGTTTAGAAAGAAGATTGATAGTTGTGATAGAATAATGGGCGCAAGCCGTTATAGGCTTGTCAGGAATATCCAAAAAAACCCGTGAAAATAAATCACGAGGTTGAACATTGGAATTTTTGTTTTGGAGTATGAACAAATGTTCTTTATGGTTTTTCTTGGCACTTGTAGGCTGCATCTGTGAAAGGTTTGTCGTATTTAATAAAGATGTACAAGAGTCATTTAATTAACTGAAATGTCTAAATTTATTTAACTTTGTGGAATATGGATATTTTTTACCAATACTTAAGTGACGTTTTGATAAATTTATATCAAACGCAATCGCGTTATTACGCGTATTTACGAATTGACGTTTTTAATGCATTTTTATTATTTATTTTATACAATTTGTGACAGGGTAATCGAGGTTAAATCTTTTAAACATGGTCAAAAAACTGGTACCGTTTTATTTGAAAGAAACGATTATGGAAAGCAATGTTGGACAAGCGAGGAATTTATTATTCTTAGTAGCCGGAGAATGTTTCAAGATATTTTACCTAATGTAAGATTCAAATTTTCTAAGAATTTTCTATATATCCATTCAAACTGTATTATAAAAATTGAAACAGTATTTTATCATTTTTGAAAGTAATAAAAAAATTTAAGAATTCGATTCAAAGAGAATGCATTTCTTAATTTTTTGTAATTTATTTATAAATTGATTTGTAATAAAAGATCGATATATTTTGGTAGAATTCTAATAAGAATGTTTAAGGAATTTTAATCTTCTATATAATGAAGAATGAGTGTCCCGCTTAAAGATATAAGCATACATATAAATTTTTAAGGGTGCGTTCTATTTTAAGTGCAATATGCACGACGTATTATTTTATTCTCATTTAATGTTCACTGAACAACAAAAGTAAGATGACACATCATGCGTATCATGCGTGAAACGGAATGCACTCTAAGAGTTTCCTTTCCGCCAGGTGAATGTCATCGATCCTCAGAATGACCAGTACATAGCGCACCTTATGGACTATTTTCACATATGCTTGGAAAGCGTACGGAGGCTGTCCGTTGGCAAAACGAAGCATTTGATGCTGAAAGCTTTGGCGGATACTTTGGGCGGTTATTTGCGAGTCTACATCCTCCCCGTCACGAGGCACTCATATTACGCGGGTAACATTAAGTATCGTAACGCGAAGATGCTGTTCGAGCTTTTTGACGAGCTGAAGGTATTTCTTCGGTCCAACGGCGCCGGTTGGTCAAATCCCAGCAAAGATATTCCAAATGTCAGGATTCCTCCTATTGTAATTACACCACCGAAAACGTCGGTTGCCTGTAATGGGTTTATCACGTATTCGTCGTGTAAGTGTGATTGCTATACGGGATCTACAATAGAAGTCGTGACGGTTGTAATAAATTGATTATTTATAGTTGTTAATTATTCTTCTCATATTCGACTGTGATTGATTAATTTTTTACAACTTAAGACTTTACGATCGCTATAACTTCTATTGTAGACTCCGAAGAGATAACTATCTAATGTAATCATGGGGCAGAGTCCTCGAAATTATTATAAAATCCATACCAAATCCTTATGTATAATCCAATAATTGCATGTGCAACTACGAGGAATAATCGTATAATATTAAGTAAAATCATTATGAGTAATAATAAGGGCAATGAGCCAAATACTAAACGCAAGAAAAATTTTTCAAATTAAGTATAATATAAAATTTAAACTTTAATACAGACGTTTCGACTCCGATCGGGTCATCTTCAGTGTAACAAACATAAATAAATTATAAAAATTTCGGTGTCGCTAATCAATAGATAATGTCAGGAAATTATTCGCATCTTGAAATTGTAGTCCATCATGTAAAAGTTAATCCAATACAGTAAATTCAATCTAATAAAATTTATATAATTTGTCATAAGAAGTAAAATCGTTTATTAAACCAAATAACCTCATATATAGTGAAAAGGATTGTTGTTTATCAAATGAAACCGTATGAAATCGAATGAAATCTATGTTATAGCCTGTGAGACAATATTTCGGCTGGTGGTTACCTCCTCGGTAGACTTTACGTTAATCTTTCGCAGTTCAAAGAAATAAAAACAAGATGCATATTAAATATATATTATTTCAATACTTAATTTTTTAAGCAATAAGTATAATATTTTATGAAAGCGGTAAACATAGTCATGGTTTTTTGTTAATTGAGAAAATATCTGCTTGCAAATCTAATTGCAAATTGAAAATCAACTTAATTGAGAAATTGTAAAAATATCAGTCTAATAATTTGTTACTTTCTTGAATAAATGAGAATAGCTTTAGGATATGACGATGGTAATTATCGAAGCTTCACGTTCAGAAAAAAGAAAAGGTCTACAATGAAGCAGGGACATTCGAGGCGTGCAGTCGATGGTAAGAACAAAAAAACGCGCTTAACTTTAAACGACATTTGTATATCATTTCAGTATTTCATGTGGCTGACATACAAATGAAAGCTAAAAGTAGTGCCATTACCATCCAAAGAATATTTAAAAAAAAATTAGAAATTATTTTTGTATATAAAAATTTGTAATTTACATAAATAAAATAAAATTAATATAAAAAAATTAAAAACAGATAAAAAATTACAGAACTCTTAATATTAAAAATGCAATAGTATGATATACAAGGCTTATAAGAACCTAAAAACAATAAAAAATTTCCGTAATTAAATCAATATAAATGTATTAAATTTAAATATAAAAAATTACAAAAAATAATACATTCCACGCTACAAAAAATATAATATATTACACACAATAAATTAATATAATTGCCTATTCTGTAAAAAGAGTAAAGATGAAATTGAAACTATTACTGTTTATACAAAATTTGCTAAACATTCTTTACGACAGCTAAGCTGTTCTATATCATAATTTATTTTTAAAACACCACAGATTAATGTTAATCGTTACACAATTTTTTATTTTATCAAGGTTACGATAACGAGGGTACGACAAGCGAAGTTATGATACCCCTCCCATTTCTCGATAATGAAGCAGAGCCTAATAGGTAGTTATTGACTGGTAATCTTGAAGAATGCCTTGACGGCATTCAAACAGCTTCAACACATTATTTTCTATCTAGCATCGCATTGCCCTTCAAAACTGACAGCCTACAATCATTATACTCGGAAAAATCAGCTTTCGCCCTCGTCAAGTACTACATTGCCAGCGTGAAGTGCATCACTTCGCGATCGAGCACGAAAACGCGATTGCGAACGTTCAACAAGGACTTTTATGCCTGGTTGCAACAATCTGTGAGCAAAAGATTGATATGACGAAATATATATATATATATATATAATATATGATATAATAGTATACATTATATAAAATACAATATTTATGTAGAAAAAATTCTAAAGTTCAATCTGTAGATCATTACGTTAAAAGAACACCACGTTTTATTTCTCTTTTCTATTTTAAAACTGTTGACGCTGTTGCTTGAGATTAATTTTGAATAAGAAACAACTAAAAAAACAGATATTTTTGCATTCCAGGTACGTCGACACTTAGATGACGAGAAATGGTATCCAGCATTCGGTGGTGTCCTTCGAGTACTGGTTACTTTACGAGAAACGGGTAATATTTTATGATGGTCTTCCGTTTGCCTGCGATTCGCCGCGTTTGAAAATTAACGAGACCAATATGTTATTCCGTTTAAGCGTTTGTATAGCTAAGAAACTGCAGGGCCCTCTGCAACATTTCTCTGACCGTGTTCGCGCAAATTTACGCGCGATTTCATCGTGCGCTTTCAAGGGGATTAAAATATAAACGCATGTCCATTAACCCTTTGATGCATTTCGAAGATCAAAATGACCCTCTGTGTATTTTGCTTCGCATAATTTTCTTATCACGCATATAGATTCCCGAAATGTTTCGCTTTATTTCATAGTCATGAAATGTGAGAACATTAACAGTCTCCTCTAGGTCCTATATTTAAAATATTAAAATGGAGAGAAAGTTAATTAATTAATGAAATGATCGATTTAAAAGCTGTAATTCTTAATATATTTATACGCCAATAACATGATACACCAGTTTTTTTTTTAAAAAGCATATATAAATACGGTTATTTTGTGTTTTTTCTTACAAATGATTTTACAGCACATTTTTTTGTAACTTAATGTCTTATAATTAGATATCGGAGGCGGTATTATGAAGAGTAGAACAAGTGGTACTTATCAAGTTATGCCCAAAGTAGGTATGGAACGTGCGAGTCAAACGGACGAGAGTGCGTCGTTGCTTTACAAAGGAAAGGGAGAAAGTAGGTTACTCCTTCGTGAGACAACACAATTTTTTTTGCCTTGGCATCTGTATCACCTTAATAACATTACTTTCTAATTACTCGAAGCATAATTAAATTGTAAAATAATGAAATTTATGCCAATTTTCAATTCAGAGAGTACAATGACGCTTGGACCTACGGAGCTCGTGATCATAGCGATAGTATCCGTCCTGGTGATATGGTTATTGGTGGGTTTGAGCTTAGTGTGCTACAGATTTCTCACTAAACCTCCCGAAGGTTGCTCACCTTGCGAATCAAAAACTACACCGTACGTTCAAGCATCGCTTTCTTCTACTCACTTTTTTTCTGCATCGCTTATTATACCTGCGGCTTCCTTGGAATTGTCTATACTGATTTATCTTAAGTCGTTAAAATTATTTTTTATGATTTAAATAATTATCCATTCTTATTATATGTTTTAATTTTACACACTATAAACATATGTATTATTCTTTCATTTAATATTATAAATTTATTACACAATATTCAAATTCATTATTTAAATTTTGAATCTTCTTGTGACGTTTCTTCTGCGAGAGAACGACTGCTTGAAAAACCCTGCAGTGATATTCAATTCGTTCTTTTCTTTTTAGATTCGCAGTTCTCTATGAAAACTCAGACTATTGCCAGCCGGATACGTGCCCCTCGAAGTTGCGTAAGGGCGTGGTTGAAAAATTGAAGGAATGGTGGAGAGATAGGTTTGGACGATGCCCAGGAGGATGCCAGGAGCACGCGGACGAGGAACGTTGCTTGGCTGAAATCAGTTACGGCAGCAAAGATATTGTCAGCGATAGCAACAAAATTTATTCGTAAGCTTATTTTTATTTTACCACATTACTCTGCATTATTTGCATTAAAAGAATATTTTTTATCAGTAATATTAGAACAGAAAGTTTGTAATTGTATTGATCTTCGAATCAATTATATCGCATTGTATATTATAATATTTAAGTTTCAATTTTACATTGAAATACTTTGATATATATTTACAGGAGAAAGAAATACACTAAATCTACATCAGCTCCACAATTAGGAATATCCAGAAGTCGCACGGTTTTCAAAGTAAATGATTATAATTTTTAGTTTATTTATAGCTAATATAGTAGTAAGTAGTGCATAAGCAAATGTGTGTGTTTTTAAACTTTTTAATTGTGTTATTATTAGTTATTAGCTTAGTAAGCAAGGAGCACTTTAAGATGCAGTAATGATGCTGAAATGGTTCAAAGTGTTTCTTTCATACCGGAATAGATAGCAAGAAATTAAAATTAATATCATTTTATACGGAAAGAATATGGTTTTGATAAAGAATTTTTGTATTATATCCCAGACAACACAGAACATCCATTGGACATCTAGACTTGGTTTCAATCTGGCCCAAACGTCCGTAGATTTAGTACGAATGTTTTAAAAACGTAAGTCATTCAACGTACAAAGTATGTTTACATTTGAACGTTTAAAAAATGTTTATCTCATGCAAAAATTTTTCTAAGTCTGCTCGCGACGTGTTGCTTTCGCTGACTAGCCAAGTGAAAATTTTTTTAAGATCGCACGAGAAGTTTTATTTTTGTTATCTCTGTAAATTAAAGCTTAGTTCAGACAGCACGCAAACATCAAGCAACAATAGCTTGCTGCTCACAGTGATAAGAGTTAGGAATCTTTTGCTTCCAGCGTGCAAATTTGTCTGGAAATTTGTGGTCTAAAATTTGTTTAATATATTAATTTAGTTCAGTTTTAGTCCATTGGAGTCCAAAATGGTAACACTGGATGTTTTTGGAACGTTTTTAAAATATCCATGGATCTAATCTGGATATTTTTAAATGTCCAAACGTCCAACATGTATTTTTTAAATACATTTTTCAAACATTACTGTATTGTCTGGGATATAGAATATAGATATCAATTAGAAAATATAAGTTTTTAGATCATTAAAATAATTTATGATAATGCTGCAAAAAGATTTCAACATTCCAGTTTGAATGTTAAAACATACATAATTATTTCGATGGTCTAAACAAAATTATTTTCTAAATTTGTATGTACCTAAGTTTTTAGGTACTTCAGCAGAACTGTTTTTTCTCTGTATAAATATCTATCTATTTTGTGCAATATTTATGCGTTTTATATAATTACGAAATTTGCATATAATTACGAATTTTATCCACAGCACAGCGTTTGCTATAGTTCCGAAGGATCAACCACCTATTCCGATAGTCCAGCCAAGCTAAGGTAACAATTAGAAAATAAATAACGATTTTGAACGTTTGGATACGAAGATATAAAAGGATTGTATTACTTCTTTAAGATGTACCATTTAACTTTAGAATATTTCTATTATTTAATAAAAATTACACCTCAATAGACACGCGAAACTTTCTAATCTCGCATGGTTGCACGGTACGTGCGGTAGTCATGAGAAGAAACGCGAAGATTGTTTTGCTTCACGCCCTGTCGGGCCATTAATCTAATTGCATTACAGTCGACCGCGCCGAAAACACACCCCTGATGTTCCGTCGCTCCCAGCTTCTCTTTCCCGCGATCGCGTGCGCGTTCAGTAACTTTTTCTTATTCTCCGTATCCTAATTTTACGACTCTTAACGACAGCATCGGTATATCATTATATTGGGTGTTTTCCAACAACGTACACAGATGACACAGTGTAACACTGTGTCTTACACAAAGTGTTCCAACTGTGACACAGTGTTACACTGCTCGACACTGTAAAAAGCTAAGTACGAACGTGTAGAGTATGCCAGTGTTACCAATTAGAGCTCTATCGTTCCAACAAGTCTTTACACAGTGGAGCACAGTGTAACGTTTCTGTGTCCTAGCTGGAAAACAGCCATTGTTATTGCACAGTTGGAAAAAAAACTTAAAAATAATAATAATAATATCATTAACTCGTCGTTAATGATTAACGATACCGAGCTGTCGTCAAGGCTCGGTTTCATAAATAGTAAAATGAACTTTAATTTCGGTTCGACTTTATTATGTAGAGAGAAAGTTTTCGCGAATTTTTTTAAAACAATTTTTCTTTCTTAAAACAAAATGAATGGTACAATGTGTGTAACCAACTCTTCCTTCGACGCATACATACAGCCATCTATCAGTATGCGCGGGAACTTTCTCTCTTTACACCCCTTTTTCTAATTCCTGCTTCTACCCAGAAATTAACTCTGATCTCGGTTTAACTGACTTTTCATCCTTTCTTTTAATTCTTAGAACTAAAAAAAGATGAAAAGTTGATTGAAAACAAGATTAAAATTACGATAACACAGAAACGGACATAATTCTTGGAAAAAGATAAATTAAAAAGAGTAAATTAAATTGAGATTAATTTATGGAACCGCGTCTATGAGTCACAAAATCGGATTGGATGGATTTCCGACCAAAAAGGGGTTAGTTACAATGAAATACGCGAGTAAAATTCAACACTTGTTGCGAACAAAACCGAGTACGAGCGACGCGAACGCCGGGCGGCGTGGAAGTAAGGAAAATGGAGCAGCGCGGCGGTTTTATCAACGTCCCCCCCAACGCGCGCCATCTTGTACGCGCATGCGCGTCTTTCGAGCGACGCCGAGACCGCGCGAAGTTAGCAGCCGGCCGGCAGTCTCGTGCGACATCTCGACTGACTCGTTGCGTCCTGTGTAGTACGTGAAGAGACGTGCGGGAGTGACACGCGTCGCGAGACCGGCTCAACGAAATTAGACAAATCGAGCTGTTTTCGAACGGACGGGTACAATTCGAACGGTCGGCGAGGGCGTCGTAAAACGGACGTGAACACTTCGTTTTGACAAAACCGCGCGTGCTGTTCGCTGTTTCGCAACCGATGACAATAGAACTGTTAAGTGCGACGCGTGATAGTTGGATGCCTCGTGCGAACAATATCCTCTTTCGCGAGCCTCGCGCGACGTTTCTATCCGTAACGGATCGTATAGAGTGACGTTGTAGGTTCTTCGATTCGAAGAAGGAACGATCGAATTCTTTCGCGGAAAGAATCGCGGTGATTAGTGCGGCCATCGCATTTTTTCGCGTATCATCGTTCGTCGCCGATACGCATCGTGCACTTTTTGCTCGCTTATTAACCGCGTCGGGGGGGGGGGACAGAAATCGGAATCGTCGGTGTTAAGTGCTTTTCCCGAAAACTCCGATTCGCGGAAATTCGCGCGCGTGGACGCCGACGGAACGTCGCGGTTTGATTCGCCGTACGGCGGCGGCGCGCGCGCGCGCGCTCGCGCATGCTCCATTTTGAGAATTTGAAATTTTGCGAGTGAACGAATTTGCGCTCGGAGCTACGTTCACGCGGTTACGTGTACATTCGGGACTGTTCCTCCGAGTATGTATACCACGGCGGGATTCATGTGCTTCCTCGTTTCCGCGCGCGTCTACAATTGACTCTTTGTGTGCCATTGTCTTGTGCGCTTCGCCGTGGGACAACATGTCACGCCGAGGTCATCGCCAGTTATTCATGCTGCTCTTCCTGCTCCTCTTCGCGGGCATCTTGAAAGGTGAGTCTCTTGTGATGTTCGCGGGTTCAAATTCCCATTATCCGACGGAGCTAATAGAGTGTATTTTAGCTCGTGTCTTATCTGTTAATGCAATGATAACGGAATTCTAAAAATGTTTCTCGATCGAGATTAATTTTTCTTAACGTATAATCGCTTGTGTAATTATGCTCAATTTTATACCAGCTATTTAAATTTGAATTTTTTTCATTTAATCGACTTTTTAATACATATATTTTGCAATCGTGTATTATTATTTAGACTGTTTCGAATAATCTTAATGTTTTCCGAATACCGTCACAAAAGAGAGTACAAATTTTGCCGCGATCGTTCAAGGATTGTTTTATTTCTGCATTTTTCTTACGTATTTTTTGTTTGTTTGTGAAAAGAGAAAGTTATAATAATAACACTTAAAAAAAAAATTAATAAAAAATAGTGCATTGTGTATATATGAGATAAAATTAATAAAATCCTTATTTACATCGTTACGAAATTACTGTCGGGGTTATTCAATCATTTAAAAATTAAGACAGAGAGTTAGATCAATAACTCTAAATTAAATGATTATAACAATTTTCGATTTCTATGAAAAAAAAAATATATAAGAAAATGTATATCAGTTGTAAGATAAAGGTGAGATCTTACTATTTAAAAGCGTGCGGTGGTGTTGGTTGTCGGGATGGATGGAGCCGGCTTCGGAATGAAAGTTCAAGTACAATAAACGAGAATATTTATTTCACTCACTTCACTTCTGTTCATACAGATTATTACAGTCAAAATTCAAAAACGTAGATCACTGACGATATCAAAGATAGATAACCGAGGTGTAACATTACCTCGTTACCGAATCCGCGAGGGAATAGCGAGATTTAACTGACTGAACAAAACGACTAACGCGAGAGTGCCGAAATCTCGTCTCCAATCCACGGCGTTCAGTTAGCTGAAATTCCTTTCAAGTCGTCTAAAAGTCGCGCTCTGTTATTCTTAATTTCTCATCTTCATTGATCAACAATCTCTCGCGCCAAGTATTCGTTCGACGCGATTGACAATATTATTTATCCGACCGATTTGCCTTGAGTATAAAAACGGATCGGAGCAACGTGGTAATCTCGAAATATCTTATACAGTATAACGGTTTCCCAAACGATCGTTCCAAACGAAAGTGAAAAATATACCATTTTTATTCGCATACACTTCAGTATGATAATAACTGAAACTTTTCACTAACGATACATTAACGATATACATATTAAGTAATATTAACGCTGTTATTTTGTCTCCAAATCTTTTATCATCCGCTTTATCATGAGTTTAATCGAAAGAGTTCTTGAAGCATGCGATAAAGCAAATGTTTAATCTCCACTCGAAATTTGCGATTGGTCGAAACGATTTGAGAGTACTTTCAACTTCTGTTCTTCTTCATAAACATTCAACAAGTGGCGACAGGTCCACTGGTTCGTGCGAGTTAAGTTCACGAGAGCTTTTCAAATCGCTCGAACTCCGCGAGGACTTTTCCTGTCGTAAAATATCGGGTATAATACTACAATGATCAAAATGTTCCTTGTTACGCGTGCGGTGTTTACGCGTTTCACGTAGACCTTTTATGAATTAAATATGTACATAGATGTGAAATGCAACGGTATGTAAATTATTTTACAACATGAAATTAATTATTAATTGGCAGATATCATCAATTTTAATGTAACATTTATTATAGCAAGTCAACTAATTGTATATGCAATAGTTTGTTGAAATTTTAATTTGCATCGATCCTTAACGTACTAATCAACATCATAAACCACAATTTCATATTTTTTAATATTTCTACCTTTTTGACTGATAAATTCCATTTTACGTGCAAATTACTAGATTTGTATTATATATTAATCGACAGATTCCAATAATC